AGCCGCCAGGCCGCGACCCACGGTCTTCTGCAGCCCCAGGACCCAGCTGTACCGTCAGGCCCTTGGTCCTGGCGCCAATCTCGGCGGGGACTGGAAGTGGCGGGAACTGGGCTGAGCCGGCCTCCCAGCAGCAGTTATGCCGCGTGCAGTGAAGCAGCCGCCGCGCGGTTGTGGATCGGACCCGTTGTGACCCACAGGGTTTCACTGGCTGGCTTCTGGAAGTAGGTGGCCAGCCTTTTCTCCCCAGTCTCTCAGTCTGGAAGCTCCCTGAAACCTCTTCAGCCTCACAGCCACAAGCAAGCCTGGAGGACAGACTGGTGGTGGCTGCGCCTGGCCGGAATCGCACCAGGTCTCCCACATGGAAGGTGAGAATTCTACCAGGGAACCCCCAGTGCCTCGTGTGCACCGGGTTGAGAAACTCAGAAAGGGCAGTGGTTCCGGCAGGACTTGCTTATACTGAAATATGTATGAGTGGTGTGGCCGCGCTGCGGGGTCCCTGGCGATGAAGGGCTGTGCCGTCGGTGTGGGCGTGGCGGCATCCCCGCCACTGCGCGGTGCGATCTTTGAAACCCGGTCTGGGGCAGGACCCTGGTTCCCGACCCGACAGTTGACCGTTTACACGTGTGGCGATGCTGCCCAGGAGGCCGGCCACAGGGTGGCCAGGCTGCGGCCGTGCGCGCCCGCGGAGACAGTTCTGCCCGGCTCTGCGCCCCACTGCTCAGCTGCCTGCGCTGGGACGCGCCCCCGAGCTCCGCCGTTCGCGAGCCTAGCCGGGCTGGTCTGTGGCGCGATGGACTCCCGAGTGGGCATGCGTCCCGAGGCCCCTGTTGGCCGGAAGAGTTGCCTGGCGGTGCCTGGGCCCCCAGGGCGACTCTCCCGGCGGATCTGGGTTTGGGAAGGTGCACCCTGGAGGACGTGCCGCTGTTTCACGCCGGGCTGGGCGTCACCCACCCGCGAGGCCTGCGGGCGGGCTCCCGGAAACCCATCGGTAAGCCATGCTTTCCAAGCCTCAGCCCGAGTGCCTGGAGTAAGAATGTCCTTACTCTCTGTCGGGGCTCGGGATGCGTCTCTGGAACCCCACAGGGAGGAGGCTTAAAGCGCAACTCGCATCATCAGAAGGGCCCGTGGGCGGCTCGCGCGTCGGGCCTGCTCGCCACGCGTGCGCGCTGCTGCGCTCCGGCCCTGGTGCCCCGAGGTACCCTCGAGCGAGCCGTCTCTCCTGGAACGAG